TTTCCCCTCTCGTTTCTCTTGGACATGTTATAAACATTTTTTTCTAGAAGAATCTTATTATTTTCTTTATCTGTCTGTGACCATTTCTTTGTTTCTAGTCGACGACATATGTATAATAAGTGTGGCTCATCAGTATGTATAGTCACTGTTGTGTGTCGAGAAATCGGCGGTATCGGTTACAATCGCTCATCGGTTAACCGCAACCGGTGCATCTCTAGTTGTAAGTTACAACCGCTCATATTGTTAACCGTAACCGGTGCATCACTAATACCAGTTGTAAGTTACAACTGGTATAGGTTACAACCGATAACCGGTTACAACCGGCGTAGGTTACAACCGATAACCGGTTATAACCGCTATCGATTGTTCGGTTATAACCGTAGCCGGTGCATCTCTATTCTAGATAATGAAACAAGTTTCGGAAGCTCGAAATGGCATTGGAATGAGTTTATTCGCTGCTGTTAAAACTCTACTATTTGTACTCAAAACTATTCCTATTAAAGAAAAATAATAAAAATTAAGAAAATAATAAAAGATGATTAAAACATGAACATTTGTCTACTTATTATGTTAGTAAGTTATGTATTTAGCTACCTTAGTACAGTTAGATTATTTCTATGATAAATATATTTCTTTTGATAGATATTGACAAAAAATGTTGATTTGCATGGTATAAATACCGTTCATTTTATGACAGATATTAAAATATTTTCACACTCTATTTCATCACTTTTTCATTTCTACAAACAATATAAGATACCAAGAAATATTTTATAAGCACGTAGGTTATGTTCCGTATCTTACCGAGGACATTCGATGACTGTTAATAAACTTTTATTTTCACGATTATTATCTATATAATAAACATGATGGATAATAGAACCAAAATAAAGAGCAAAAATTAAATATATTTTTACCTTGGTTTTGTACCGCTATCGTCACCAGTTCACTAGCTTGTAATTCTGCTTCGATATTTGAGGGATCTATAATGAAGGAACATTTTACTTTTCAGGTGTTCTAATGATAATAAAATATGACTACTTACTATTGATGCTTCGTTCCGGATCAGCAGCTTCTTGTACCGACGATTCTAAAATGTCACATAGTGTATATAATTGAACATTAATAGTATTTTATACTCTATTTAGATTATACCTGATGCTGGTGCGTTTGTATTTACAGTTTCTCTTTCTAGTTCTGGCGTTCGATGAAGAATATCTTGTGATTGGGAATTGATTGTTGAAGCCAAGATACTCGGTGCCAATAGTATACTTTCGTTTGAATCTAGAATTAGACGGAGATAATTAGACTACTAACATGATAAAATCTGATAAACATTACCTTCACTGTGAGAATTATTGAGAGCTAGTATTTGAATCGTCATTGTTGGAATATCTTCTACAAAATAAGTAGAAATGAAAAAATAATTGTACCCATTGATGCAAAGGGTCTAATTAATATACCAGAACTACAAAGAATCTCAGAGACAGTAACTGATTGCTGTTCCAACTTAGTATCAATAATTTTTAATTGTTCATTTGTTGCTTGTGAATCTTGTACACTTGATACGTCCAAATAATGAATTGGTTGTGCTAAGAATGAATTATGTACAAATAAGCATCAGTAATATATCAAAATTGTTTGCTTCTTACATATCGACACACTTTCTTCTATGCCTGGTACAATCAATTGATAGCGAATGAAGAGTAACATAAGAAAAATGATGTATTCACGTTCTGCATCATCTGGTAAGACACCTAAACAGCAGGTATATAATAATCTTCACGTTAATCAGGGCAAATAATACAATTTTAGCTGAGCATACTAGTAGTTGTGGGCGAGAAATTAATGAATTCGTTGGAATTAAAAAGTGTCAGATCAGAATTAGCTGTTATCACTTAAATGTAAACATAGCTTTGTGGAGAACTTTCTTTTCATGTGTTGATAATGCAATTACTCACGTGCTAGGGATAACGATTGTTGATCGTCAGATGCTGGATCTTAAGAAAAAAACTAATGATAAAATATTCTCGAACATTCAGTAAATCCATATTTACGGCTTATTCGTTGTTGAATTTCTTCTACTGGCACACCATTGTTAGCTCCTATAAGATAAGTGGGAGAAGTCTCCTAGAATTCTATGATTATCTCATTATTCCTTATGAACGTTTATTAGACAGAAAAATTCGAAAGTTTATCACTTTGTTGAACATAAAGGGTGGTCCAGAAGTCCTGACCCGATTTGAATAATAAATTTTTCTATAGTGAAACAAGTGGTTGTAAATTTGTCTCTATGAAGAAATGATGCAGTAAAAAACTCTCTACAAGATGACTATTGATTGACCCCGTTAGCCCATCTAGTAAGAAAGTTATAGGCTTAGAAATGTGCTTCACAAAAAAGAAAAATCAAAAGTGAACCCGGCCCATACGGTGGTGCGTTCAGTAAAAGTCCCATAACTTCATCAAAACAAAACGTTTGTCGATCGGGTTTGTTTTGCTTTGATCAGAAATGATTGCTCTTCTCTACCTAGTTGCAACATCAAAACTTCGATCACGTTTTCCGTTTCTTGC